TTTTATTAAACACCACCTTAGTTTAAAACTAGTAATTGAACCGATAATAAAGAGTGACTTAATACATATTCATTGAGTCTTGGAGGCGGTGGTGGGCGGTGGAGTTGGGTGGTGGTTGCGATAATGGAATGATGGTGATCGAGATCATCAAAACACAGAAAAAACTTGAGATTCATACCATTAAAACTCGCTCAATCTTGTTCTTTTTGTAAACCAAACTAGATAGGATTACAATTTTTAAGATTATTTAATAAACAATCTAAGATCATAAGTATGCAATGATCATCGAGTTCAATCTCACACACGAGTCTTAATTCAAATTTAACTTCAAATTTAATTTATTTACTCAGATGAACCAAATCGAGTCAAGCTCTAGTTTAGGAGGAAGAAAAAAAAATTAACATGTCAAATTTAAACAATATATTCGACATGACTACAAATTGATCTTAAGCTTAATCCTTTTTTTTTTTTTGGTTATAAGGTATTTAAGTTTGTACCGATTATTCCTTCAAACTCAAATCAAACCCAAAAAATTCGAACCAATTTAAACCACCATACTAACGTATAACGGAGAAGCTAACCAGTAATACTCTATTTGGTAGGAAAAATGGAAGTAAAAGGGATACATTTTCTATCCTTCATGTTGTCATTAATGCTCCACTTGGTAGGAAAGATGAAAAATACGAAGGACAAAAAGTAGGAGATATACATTTTTTATTCTTTAATGATGGAAAGTCGAAATGATATATTTTTCTTCCGTTTGGTTGGATGGATAGATAGAAAATAAAAATGACTAATTTTTTTTGTGTAAGCTAAGATTATGGGTGATAATTGAGTCGTGTCGTGACAGATTCATGTTGAGTCATAAAATTATGAGTCTTTTATATTTCTTATTCGCATGTCAGATCATTTTCAAGTTCGTGTCATAAAATTCGTATAGAGTTCAACTCGTGTCATTGTGTTTAATTAAAAATTTTCACCCCTAATTAAGATGAATTTTTTTTTTAATTTTGTTTTTTAAATTTATTTTTTTATTTTTTAATATATATATATATATATATATATATATATATATATATATAATTTATCATTGTATTTTTATATGAAATTAATGTATACATAATACATGTATATATCAAAAGATATATAAACAAATAAGATACATTTTAACACAAATAATTAATTTTTCATCCACTTTCCTTTTGATTTTAGAGGGGTTGATTTTAGTGAGTTGGAAAAAAATTTAATACATCCACTTTTTTATCATTTCTATTTTTTTTTTCTTATCAAACATGATATTTTATTTATCTCTTAAATTTTTCATTTTTTCAATTTTTTATTTTTTTATTTTTCTACCGTACCAAACGGAACACGAAACTATGGGGAGCGTTGAAAACAACATGCCTCAGTTCAAGGTGTCTAATGTTTGCATTGGTTGGATTCATTTGCACATAAAACCAAAATTTAATTCAAACGCTTAATTGTATACCACTTCGAGTTATGGAAAACAACAGGTGGGTCCCACTTAAACTTTTTTTTAAAAAAAAGTCATAACCTAATGGAGTACGTAATTTCTCTCCTAGCGGCTTGGACCGTAGACCGCCAATTGAGAGCTTCGTGAGGTTGGAAGTACAGACAAAGTTTTGGATGACGCTTATACCCTTGCTATTGCAAAAACAGAGTTCACTTACATAACCCAACTCGACCAACGACCAACTGAGTCAACTCAGACAGTTACAGTTTGACTCATGAAAATATCAATATTTGCTAAAGCAACGTCAAGGTTGTATAAGGTGAAGACAGTTTTGTCCTCGAGATATGAAATATCTCAACTAGGAGAAAATATTCAATGTAATAATGGCATTCCATTTTGAAAAAACTCCGATTTTTTTTAATTAATAATTTTATATAAATTATAAAATATATTACCATAAATCTAAAATCCTAAGTCTAATCCACTAAAATATTTAAGCCCTGACCCTAAATAATCAATAGCCTCTCTCTCTCTCTCAAACACAAACACTTAGACGACTCATCGACTCCGGCAAGTCCTTCGATCTCGTCTCTCAATCTCTCTCTCTCACACACAAGGACAAGTAGCCCAACCCCTCCATTTCTATCACTTCTCGGATGGAATAGCGTTTTGATCCTCAGATTTGAGATCTCAACGAACAATTCCTCATCTCCGACAACGCTCTCTCAGACAATAACTTTTTGTCTCTCTCTCTCTCTACGTATATATATATGTGTGTCTGTTTACATTGTAATTTATGTACATTGTCTAGTATTTTTTTTTTTGGATTGTGTCAATTTCCAAATTTTTGGTCCGACTCCGATTGGCGGAGGGAAAAACTCACTCCGACTAAAGTCGGAGTCGGTGCCCACTACTTGTTACATCCTCCATCCAATATTTACTCCTCAACTAGATACCAGGCCTCGAACATCATCCTATTGGCTATATTCTTGTCCCTAGCCTGGGTTTTTTATTTTTTGGATTACTTATACTTCATAAAAATCTAAGAAATATCTACAATGAATAAAAAAAAAATACATTTATACGTAGAATATGTATACCTAGAACATTACAAGTTTCCCTGTTTATTAGGCGAACCAGCCTACCATGGGGAAAAAATGATTGACCCGAGCCTTGGTTTTGTGAGGTTGGGCTCCCGACCCATTTATTGCCTATTAATAAAAAAAAAAAAAAGAGGAGGTAGTTTGATTTCCACTACTAAAATATTCATGAAACTATTTTTTTTTATTGAGAAAGTTGGAGGCCGATTTCCTTATATAGACTTATTTGAACTTAAGTCCGTCAAAGAAACATATTTGTTATGAAGTCTATTTTTTGTCAATTTTACCAGATCATCTCTTATCTTTAAAAGTGAAATAAAATTAAAAATTAAAAACTCCTAAATTTTAAGAGTTTGATTAACATTAAAATTTTTTCTCCCTCATATCTATTAATATCCATACACAGGTTAAGACTATATATATATATATATATATATATATATATATATATATATATAGTAACATTAAAAATTAAAAATTATAACATTAAAATACAAAAAAAAAATTATTATTTAGACACAAAAAATAATACCATTTAAACACAAAAAAATATTAACATTTAAACACAAAAAAATAGTAACATTCAATATTAATATTTTTGCAAAATAACCATAGTAACATATTTAACAAAATAGTAACATGCTTAACAAAAATAGTAACATGTTTAACAATAATTATCTCTCTCATATCTATCTATATCCACACACACACACACACACATATATATATATATGTGGATATAAAATAACATTAAAAATAAAAAATAGTCAAATTTAAATGCAAAAAATAATACCATTCAAATACAAAAAATAGCAATATTCAAAAAAAAAATAGTAATATTGAATATTAATATTTAGAAAATCATAATAGTAACATGTTCAATAAAAACAGTAACATATTCAAAATAATAGTAATATGAACAATAACATACTCAAGAAAAAAAATAACATGAACAGTATATATAGTAAAGACTTTCCCTTTTTGAGGTTAAGGGTTCAACCCTCCTCCCCTTTCCCCTCCCCCTCCCAAAAAAAAAAATAGTAAAAAAATAGTACTATTAAAACATTCAAGCCCAAAAAATAATAATATTTAAAAAAAACATGTAACATATAATCAGCACAATTGTGAATAGACGAGAAAACAGTAACCACAAAACATAGTAAACACGACGACGACGTTGCCATAATGCATATTGGAGGTGGTGACTACGGCTTGAGTAATGAAGTGATGGAGGCTCGAAATTTCGGACTTGTTAAAGGGAGGAAGGTGAAATTGAGACTCTGAAAAGTTTCTAAATAGGTCCAAAGAGAAGATATTCCTCTTGATCGGTCGTGATGCGTGATGGTGGTGGCGGACGCCATATGAGGTGGATTGGATTTTTGAGAAGAAAAGTCTAACATTGATAAACAGCTTCGTTGTTGAAAATTGATGCGGAGGACGCAGTGGACGATGGAGGAGAGAGAAGATAGTGAAGAAGATGGAGATTTTATTGGTATATTTTAATTGATGTTGAATTAAAGGATAATAATTTCTAAGATAAGAAATTAATTTAACCTCCTTTTCAAGAAAAGATATTTTTGAGATTTAAAAAAATAATGGATTTAAGTACTTATTAGTAAGATAAAAAAACAGACTTATCACCAAATAAATTTCATTGACAAACTCAAGTCATTGTAAGTCCATCCAAGAAGACTCAACTTCAATATTCACTTTTTTATAATTGCTATCATTTTTTTATAAATAATCACCAAATCTTTTATTAGTTCTATTCAATTGGCATGTTTCATCACAAAGGGTGGTTCATGGTTGTGTGTACAGGACATCTAGTATTTATTAATTTACAATTCTCTCTTGAGATCCAAACTTGATATCGAATTAAAAATCCCAAAATGTTTTCATTATAACTACTTGTTAACTAAATACATCTTTTTCAAGGGGGTTAAGTGAATATATTATTTGTTTTGTTTCAATGGTTAAAAATGTCTGAGTCAACTTATGTACATTTCGACTAATCTCTTTTGTGGTCTGGTTAAAGACAGGTCATCTATGTCATAATTAAAATTGCCAAAACACAAATTTAAAACGTCTGAATTACAAATCATCTCTATTACTACTTAAAATCCCTTAGATTTAGTGAATATATAATTGTTATCAAAGCATGCCGACTTATAAATTACTGATCAACTTCCGAGTCATTACAGAAAGCGCTCTAATGTTGGTCAACACCCGAGTCGATAACGACCGAAACTCAAGTTCGCTACCCCTGACCCGTAATTAAACATGAAAAACCAAGGGCAATTAAATAGCCAATCATGTCACACATCTACTTACATAGACCTCTGTATAAATTCCAACATTGCAAATGTTCAAACTCGTGCCTCAAGCATTCTCAACTCACTGAGGAAACCTGAAGAAAGAAACACTGCTCAATGTCTCCCTCCCCTAAAGCACAACCACACTCCTCCTCCTCCACCACCACCACCTTCGAGCAAGGCGCAACTACCATGCTCTCTACCTTGCACCCGGCTATCATCGAGGCCCACATCCTCGCCCGCCTCGATGGTCTTACGCTTGCCTCCGCTGCTTGTGCCTCCTCCACCCTTCACACCCTCTCCAGCCAAGACCACCTTTGGTCTCACATCTGCCACTCCACATGGCCATCCACACTGACGCCACGTATTCGCCATGTCATCTCCACATTCTCGAATGGGGGCCCACGATCTTTTTTCGCCCACACGTGCCCACTACCACTATTGGATCCCACTTCCATGTCATCAAACTCCAACAACAAATCACTACCCCCAATCTCAGAACTAATCTCAGCCATTGATATTCACTACGAAAACAAACTTATATTTACCAAAGTCAAAGAGATTGAAACTGTGACAGGGTGGTTCCGGTGCTCACCCTTTAGAATTGACTTGCTTGAACCTAAAGAAGTCATCTCTACATCAATAGAGCACCCTGATGGTAATGACACGTGTACGGCTCTATTTGAGGGCATGGCATTGAGCTGGATTCTAATTGACCCAATCGGACGACGAGCAGTGAATCTTTCTTCTTATAAGCCTGTTTCGGTACAACAACACTGGATGAATGGTGAAATGCAGGTGCGGTTTGCTTTAATTTTAGCCAGTGATCACAAAAAGTCTCCTTCAGGATTTGTACAGTGCGAGATTGTGGTCACGTGCGATGGGCCAAAGGGAGGAGAGATGCAAGTGAAGGAGGTCAGCTTGGAGGTGGAGGATATGGATGGAAAGCATTTGACTGGGGGGGACAGTTTGGTTATTTTGCAGCAGGCGTTGGAGGGTAAAAAGGGAAAAGGTGCGAATAGGGAGAAAGAAGCGAGGAGGAGGTATATGGAGTTCTTGGACATGAGGAGAGACAGGAAAGAAAGAAAGCTGAGGGTAGAGGGCACATTGGACATGTTTTGTGTGGCTTTTGGGGTAACCCTTATAGCTATGTTTTGGTTATGGGCAAATGTAAAAGTTTTCACCAAGTGATGGTCTCATGAACTGGGTCGATCTAAGATACATGCTGTAATTTTTCTATTTCAATGAGTTGCACAGTGAGAGAAAAAAACTAGAAAAAAAAAAAAAAAAGAAGAAATTTATACTCAGTCAAAGGTTCTACAGTTTAGATAAGTAGAAGACTATTGTCAAGTTGGAGATCCCATTAGCAGTTTGAAGGAGTTATATAATCCACTAATTTCGTGTCAAGGTTGCTTTGTTTTTAAATGTTTGTTAGTTGTCACGCCCTGTTTTTATAGGCTATTTTTTTAGGGGAGAATGGTTTCAACCATTTTGTACTTTGGATTCAAGATTTCTACACAAATTTATTATGCACACAATTAAAAAAAAAATACCATATAAATCGATTAAACGGGTGGTGGGGTGTGGCAGATAGCCCTCAATAATGCACAGTAGCATTAGAAAAGCCGCATAAAGTTTATATTTCACCAAATAAGATAAACCAAGAAATCAATACCACAACAGTGACAACCACCATTCTTCTCAAATCACACCATCTTAGTATTCAGGCATGTACAGAACTCATCGATTTTTACTGTTTCATTTTGTAAAACACAAGCAGCAATGGAAAAGGATAACATTTACCATACCTGGAGACTTCAAGACAGATTTTGTAACTGCAAGTAGCTGGTGTAACATTCCATTAACTGTTGATTCTATTGCTGAGTGGTGCTTCAAATTGCTGCATGCATCTGGAAATCGTTAGCAATCAGATTGCTCACTGGCAGTAAGAAGTAACATTTCCATTTCTTACAGTGAGAATCTTCATAGCAGTCATTAATGATCTCCAGGAGGTTCAGGGGGTCCTCTAGCTATTGGCATCCCAATAGAATCAGTTCTGGGTCTGGCATGGTTGACAAAAATAACACGTCCATTCAGTGCCTGCACATTGTTATCTGTTATTTCTAAATTTTAATGAAATAAACGAGAGGGAAATTAGAGATAGACCTTTCCATTCATCTCTGTTATAGCTTTCTGAGCTTCATCTTCCGATGCATACGTAACAAAACCAAAGCCTTTAGACCTGTCCGAAACTCTGTCTGTCACAATTTTAGCTGGTAGAAGGAACAATATGTTAATGTACGGTCAATTAAAATCACTAGGTTACAGAAGGTACTTCAATATGATAGGGTGATGGTCGCCTGAGGTACCTTCAATGACTTGGCCAAATTCAGAAAACGCCTCCGATAATGCATTCTCTGTCGTGTAAAATGATAGTCCTGTAATGTAGTGATTTTACGACGTATGAAATTCAAGTCCTGTAGTATGGTGATTTTATAAAATTTAACTTCATCAATATCTACCGAAAAAAAATATCTTACGTTGTAATATACAATAGCCACTGGAGAATTTGAACAGAGTGCTGCAAGTCTTCTATACATTTACATTTCAAGTTTCTATTTATCCCCGAACGCACAAGAAAACGTAGAAGCGAGCTTTCTAAAGTTAGAGTGAGGAAGGAATCTTAGCCATCGATGACCGGCTTTCGTAAAAGCATTCATGAAATGTGTGCAACCACAATAAGATGATGTCTTTTACAGAAAAGTCCATCTCAGTAAACAGAGTGAGAGTAATCAAGTTGTTGTAACCTAAGCTCCCCCTGCCTCAATTGGCAGCCCAACTAATCAGGATTCAATAATCCCAAACCAAAACCCTATATTGAAGCTAGCATGGGAAGGGATTCATCTCAGTTGATTCAGGTATGTTGGGTATCTGGATGGACCAAAAGAGATGAATCCCTAGCAGCCTTTAGAGCACTACTTTTAGCACATCTTTTTGTGACATTCAAAATAAACAGAACTGAAGGGAATTTGTATAACTTATGATCATGACCTAAGTCATTTGAACTTATCCTTCTCACAAATGGCCCATACTATTTGTATCATTATCATCACTTCATGATTCAAGTGGCATTTTCCAATGTATACAGACGGACAAAACTTCAGTTTTTTAATAACCATGCACAGTTGTTGCTTATGGCTAGACATAAGGCGTTGGCCTATTTGCACATCCCCCGGTGAGAAATAAAGAAAAAATTCAGAATATAATTGTGGAACAATATGAAGCTGTTCACGACTTTGTTACTTGAATATAGTCAAAGACAAATGCAACACTAAATTTAGTGGCAACACGACAAAAAGAAAACATTTCCTCAACACTTTCATTTTTCCATCACAGGTAGAGTGGGTCATTAGACACAAAGGCTTTCGTCTTGGGTAATAAAATATAAAAAGTAAGAAAAAGGAAAAAATGTCAACTTGGAAAAGAATGTGGCAGGGACATGGGGAAAAAACCTGACCTGATCTGATTTGCTTATTGTTCCATAAGTTCTATGATTTAGTGGAGCTTTTGGAGCCTGCTCATTTCTCACCTTACAACAATTCTAGTTATATGTCTACCCTCTATATGTGTATATGTTTATGTCCTCTATTGTCAATATTATTAAGCGCCTAAGCATTAAACCAGACAATACTTCCATGAGCATGACTATAAATCCTTGGATTTCTTCATCCTCGCATGGGACACAATACGGATGAAAGACGAATTGACTTCTATCTTTAGCCTACATCTCTCCTAACCATTCTTTCTCTTTCCTTCCTTTCTAGCCTACGTCAAAGATCCATTATTCTGGGAGCAACCATGGTAGCATATAAGGTTTTCAAAGAAGTTGATTAGACTAGTTTGCATTTGAAAACATTGTCCCAAGAAATAGCCTTGAGTTGTACATAAATCCTACTATCCTAGTACAGTGAACTGACTAATGCATATCAAAAGGGCCCAACAATGTTTGTTATTTGCTAAGAACATGATTTTAGCTGATAAGATGAGAGTATGGTTGATATAGTTATGGATCTACTTTTCAAATCCAAAGGTCTTGGAACAAACAGAAGACATAAAGCATCCAGAATGTCATTCTCAACTTAGAATTCAATATAAAGGAGTTACAATGGTTGCAATAAACATCCTAGACTCACCAATTCAAATGTTATTCTTTCTTCTTCTTTTCCCCCTTTTAGCACAAAATTGTAAATTAAAAAAAAATCCTAAAATGTAGAAAGTAACGTGACCAATCATTAAGCAACTTGCTGTAAGGCATATTTTACTGCAGATATGGAAATATACAGCCACTGTCCCAATCAAGAAAACCATACAGCTGATTCAATTTCAGATGTAGAGCATAATGCATCAAAGGACACAAAGCCCATGCAAGTTCAATTCAACTGGGCATGATTCATTCATCATAATTCTTTTTTACAAAAATTTGGGTTCAGTGGAAATGGTGAAAACTCTTCCACAGAAAATGACATGACTTAAACTCCACGTATATACGAAATTCCACTAATATAATCCAGAAACCCATAAAGGTCAAAATAACTTTTTGCTGAAATTTTAGACATCCCATATTACATGAAATTTTGGTTTTGGTATACAAAATGTTAAGTGAAAGATCTCTGAGTTTTATGTTTCAGAAGTGTCCAATTATTAGAAATCATATTTGTTACAAGTAGACTAAAAACTTAGGAAATTTTCATCCAGTGTTTTGATCATTTCACCAAATTGGTATCAGATCAAAATTAAATAATTTTTAGCTCAATGATCCAATGGTCTAGAAAATCAGGTTCAAAAAAAGTTGATTGGGGAAACGAGTTTGATCAAAATAGTGATAGACAGTGTAAAGTTCAAGGTCTTCCGCAAAACAAGATATCCAAAAAATGATCATAACACAAGCTTCTAACTCCACTTATCTGAATGAATCGAACCATAACAGTCTACTCAGTCATTTGCAGGTCACACATTCATCATACATGGGAAGTATCAATAAAAAAAGATTGGGAAATGACCCATAAAATCATTAAAACAACCATACTAACTGCAAAAATGAGGCAGCATTTTAAGTAAACCCACATAGCTAACACACACTTCAGCACTTTATTTGCTTACTACAACCACTTAATTAGCAGTCACTTTTACTTCAGGTCCACCCACCTCTTCCACTCCAACCTTCAAATTCTATCCCAACGAACCAATAATCCTCCGAAAACAAAATGTAAAATTGGGTATTAAGCATCCATAGGAACTCTTATACCAACACAAACAAACCAATACTATTACACAGTACGGAGAATCAAGCTACAAGACGGTTGAGCACAAATATAGAAAAGGGCTGATTTGTAATTACACTAGATTCCTTGTTTTCTATTCATTTGTAAATACTTTTTCTATTATTAGCTGGCTTCCATTGACAGCACAGAGTTGGTTAGTTTGTTACACAGGAGGGATATAAATACCCATAGCATTATGTACAGTGAGATCATCGAGGAATATACTGAATTTTTTTTTCCTTCATCCTTCATCCTTCTGCTCTCTGTTTTTCTTTTTTCCTTCTCACCATTACAATTTCTGTCATGGTATCAGGAGCCTGGTTGCCACCCATGGAGGATTTCGAAGGTTCCGACAGTTCTTCCTCCAACAATCCCAAAAATTCCTCTGCTCATTCAGACCAAATATCAAACACCTTCCGTGCCACAAACATGGCCAAATACTTGAAACTCACTGACCCTAGCAACCCATTTCGACTGGACAACGGCGACAACCCCGCCGTCGTTTTGGTCACCGACTTGCTTACCAGTGATAACTATCCCACTTGGTCCCGTACGATGAGACGAGCTCTCTCTGCCAAAAATAAAATGTGCTTCATCACTGGTTCCATTTCTCAACCAACAGACCCTGATGATCCTCTTCTTGACTTATGAGAACGCTGCAACGATATGGTGGTTTCATGGCTTCAAAACTCCATAAGCCCCTCCATCAGATCCAGCGTTGCTTTCGTAGACAATGCCCGTGACCTTTGGCTCGATCTTCAAGACCGTTTCTCCCATCAAAATGGACCTTGTATTTACCAGCTCAAGAAGACCCTTGCCAGCCTTCAACAAGACTCTGACACTGTAAGTGTATATTACGGAAGGCTTAAA